GCCCTCAGGATGCTCCGGGATGAAGGACCTCTGGCTTTCTACAAGGGGTGAGTCAGCCGCCTTCTCGGGGCTTTGAACTCAGCAAGAGTTCCCCATTCTTTGCTCTGGATGTTATCCAAGTTCTATTTAAGACTAGCTCGACACCCGTGTGCTTTGCTACGAAACTATGTGGTTGGGCTGAGTTTTTGGGGAGGAAAATAAGGGAGGAAAAAATTCTGCCTCTGCCTACCAGCCTCCATGGGTATCCATCTGGCTAGCGTCCTGTCAGTGTGTGAGAGAGTTGAGGGCTGTTTGGAAACTGAAGCAGTATTTGCTGTGTGAGCAAGAAGGAGACAGCAAGGAGCCTGGGCGTGGCTTAGCTCAACTGTTCTGTACTAAAGCTGCTTGGTGCTGTGAAACTAAAACGGAAACTCTTCTCTGCTTGTGTTTTGCATTAGGAGCAGATTTCCTTTCAGATGGGGAGGGGGAGTAGAACTCCTTAGCATCAGAGCGTGTTAATAATAATAATAATATAGGAAATACTCTAAATGCTCTGATGGTCGTTTCGAAAAATCCTTTCTTAGTGAGCATCTAGAGGAACCTACGGCCCAAATTTCAAGTTTGTAAGCTTTATGGTTCTGGAGACTTTGTGATGATGCGTGAGGGGTATTTTGCTTATATATATTCATCAAATTAATTGCCACCACATACATACATACATACATACATACATACATATATACATACATATATATATGTGGTGGCAGTTAATTTGATGAATTTGGCAGGAATCTCTCTATTCCATTTTTAAATTTTATTTCCCAGAACATGGTTAAAATGGGAGAGAAATTGGCTGGCTGGGGGATTCTGGGAGTTGAAATCCACCCATCGTCTTAAATCATCGTACTCATTTCCCTGAGCAAATATTTTTCCTTTTTTTTTTCCCCTCCTCCCACGTAGCTTTACACCTTCCTTCCTTCGGCTGGGATCCTGGAACGTGGTGATGTTTGTGACTTACGAACAGCTGAAGCGAGCACTGATGGCCGCTCGGGCATCGTGGGAGACGCCATCCTGAGCCGACCGTCGAGGCACAGTTTAGACTTTTGCTCACATCCTATCAGTCCGTTTTCCTCCGTTTTCTGCTCGTTTCTAAAAACTCCGTGGATTTCCCTGTTTTAAAATGTTAGAACGGTTTTAATTTTTACACGTCTCGGCTTGGCTAGAGCTGCTTGTTCAGGATCTGCAGATATTCCTCCTGTCTTTTTTCTTTTTAATTTATCTTTGCTGGACCACAGTCCAATCCTCCATTTTTAACTCCTGCTATTTGGAAGAGGATCTTTTTTTTTTTAAAACACGCTGGAGTATTGAGTACCGCTTATCTTACACAACGTTACCTGAAGTCTGTCTTACTTCCCTCCTAACCTGCTTGCACACCCCTCTTAAACACAAAGGGGATGAATTTTATTCCACTGTCTTGCACTCTCGACTTCAAGCCGTCCTAAAAGGCCACCCCATTAATTGTAAATTTAATGTTCCCCTTTTTGCCAAATTGTGAAAGAAGCAACTTTCCCGAGCCGGCTGGAATCCTAGGTGTATTTTTTTTTTTTTAAATGGCAACCTTCTCCAAATTGCTGGCATTTAGGGGAAGGGGCTGCAGTGGGTTCGAGACCCTCTCCTGCTTGGCTTGTAAGCACCTTGCTCGCATTACAAAGCCCGAGAATTTGCTGAGAAGCTCGAATCCAGATTTTCCCCACGTTTAAAAACTATCGTCCTTTGGCTGCAAATTTGGGGAAGAAAGAAAAACGGCACTTAAAAAAAAGCTTCTTTTTTTTCCGTTGGGCGAGCCTGCTGTGAAATTATTTATGATGTTGCGTTGATTTTTTTTAAAACAAAAGAAAAAAAAAATACGCACGCTACGAATGTCAAATCTTTTTCTTTTCTTTTTTTTAAAAATAAAGCTCAAGCAGAAAAGCATCTGGTTTTGTTGTCCGTCATCGTCTCTTAGAGCGGAAGCCAATCTGGGTTTTGTGTGTGTGTGTGTGACACAATTTTGTTCCTTGTTGTGAGCTTTCTTGTGGCGTCTGTGAGGTAAAGAGATGGTTTCATGGCCTTGGCCAAGTTTGCAAGATGTGGCTGCTGCAGGTAGTCCTCAACTTACAACCCTAGTGGAGCCTTTTGCCGTTAAGCGAGGCCTTTGCTAAGTGAGTTTTTGCCCTGTTTTATAACTTACTAGCTGATAACCGGGCGTTGCCCAGGTATTTATCATTTATCCTAATCCTGTATTAGACAGGAAAAGCCTCTGTTTCGGCAATCCGGAATAACACAATTTCTAATGTTGGGTTTTCCCCCGTTACCAGAGAGATTCCCCTTGTGGAGTAATGTGAAGCCGTTACCATGGCAACTCCACAGCGCTGTACAGTAGAAGCCGTTTTAAGGCAGTACGGTAGAAGCCATTCGAAGGCACAACAGGCTGTATCTTAAGAACACACCCACCCACGAGGGGTGTTAAGAGGTGTCTTACCCCCGTAGTATTTGTTTCCAAGAGGGTAAGTAATCTGCATACCAAGTTTATATATATATGTATGAATGTATGTAAAAATAATATTTATTTATTTATTTATTTAATAATATTTATTTATTATAAAAATAATACATAAAGAAGAAGATAGAAGAAAAGGTAGAGGAGGAGGAAGGAAGAGAGAAGGAGGAGGAGGAGGAGAAGAAAGAAGAAAGGGGGGGAGGAGGAAGGGGAGGGGGAGGAAGAGAAGAAGAAGAGGAAGGGGAGGAGGAAGAGGAGGAAATCTTGCAGGAGTTGTTAAGGGAATCCCTGCAGTGGTTAATAATGTGGTTGTTAAGTAAATCCGGCTTCCCTGTTGACTTTACTCATCAGAAGGTCATAAACGTGGATCACATGACCCCCTGGGACGCCCCAACCATCATAAGTACATGCCAGTTGCCAAGCGTCTGGATTTCGATCACGTGACCATGGGGGGGGGGAAACGCTACAACGGTCACAAGTGTAAAAAGCGGTCATAAGTTTGCTTTTTCGGCGCTGTTGGTCACTTGGGAGCAGTCACTCGACAAACGGGTGGCTAAGTCTGTAGTTGGGACACCTGGGAGAAAGCGATTGGTAGGCAGCCTTCCTGCCTGTATCTGGAAAATGGCACTGGGAGTGAGCTGGTCTAAAAGGAAATTTTGTCCTTCGTTGGGTTGGGGTTTTTTTGCGGGGGTGGGGGAAGCACAAACACATTCACAAGTACCACATTCTTGGGACTCTGGCCTATAAAATTAGACCGTCTTGCTAACACTGCAGGAGAACGTGTGTGTGTGTGTGTGTGTGTGTGTGTGTGTGTGTCTTCTACGCCCCCTTTTGAGGTCCTTTCAAAGTCACCCTGGGAATTGGAGCATCTGACAAAGTCAAGTCAGAATCAAAACAGAGCTGGAAGGGACCTTAGAGGTCTTCTAGTCCAGCCCGCTGCTGAAGCAGGAAACCATATGCCATTTTAAGGCAGGGGGGCAGTGCTGTCTCTTCTTAAGAACCTCCAGTGATGAAACAGCCACAACTGTAATGGTCGCAAGCTGTAATTCTCCTCACGGTTAGGAAATTCCTCCTTAATTCCAGGTTGCTTCTCTTCTTGATGAGTTTCCATCCGTTGCTTCTTGTCCTGCCTCTTCTGGGGCTTTGGAGAATAGCTTGACTGCCTCTTCTTTGGGGGCAGCCCCTCAAGTACTGAGATATTGCTGTCATGTCCTCCCTGGTCCTTCTTGTCATTAAACGAGACCTACCCTATATAACAGGATACCGGAAGAGGACCTCCAAGGTCATCTACTCCAACCCCCTGCTGCTCAAGAAGGAGATAATCATTTCAGACAGGCGACTGTCCAGTCTCTTCTTAAAAAAAAAAAACCCCAGTGATGGAACAGCCGCGACTTTGGGTGGCAAGTTGTTCCACGGGTTAATGGTCCTGACAGGAAATTTCTCTTTCATGAGCTGTGGTGGTGCAGCGGTTAGAATACAGTACTCCGACTGCTACTTCCGGCTGCTGGCTGCAGTTCAGCAGTTCGAATCTCACCAGGCTCAAGGTTGACTCGGCCTTCCGTCCCTCTGAGGTGGGTAAAATGAGGACCCAGATTGTTGGGGGGCAAGAGGCTGACTCTGTAAACCGCTCAGAGTAGGCCTTAAAGCACTGCAAAGCGGTATATTAGTCTAAGGGCTGTTGCTACTCCTTCCTTCCCTCCCTCCCTCCTTCCTTCCTTTTTTCCTCATTCTTCTTCCTTCCTTCCTTCCTCATTCTTCTTCCCTTCCTCTTCCCCATTCTCTTTCCTTCTTTCCTTTCTTCCTACTTTCTTCTTCCCCCATTCTCCTTCCTTCCTTCCTTCCTTCCTTCCTTCCTCCTTTCCCTCCATTCTCCTTCCTTCCTTCTTTCCTTTTCCCATTCTTCTTCCTTCTTTCCTTTCTTCCTCTTCCCCATTCTTCTTCCTTCTTCCCCATTCTCCTTCCTTCCTTTCTCTTCCCCCATTCCCCTCCTTCCCTTCCTTCCTTCCATGTTGGCACAGTGGTTGAGAATGTAGTATAACAGGCTAACTCTGTCCACTGTCAACAGTTCGATCCTGGCTCCAGGTTGACTCAGCTTTCCGTCCTTCCAAGGTGGGTAAAATGAGGACCCAGATTGTTGGGGGGGCAGAGGCTGACTCTTAAGAGGGGGCTGGAAAGCACTATGAAGCGGTATATAAGTCTAAGGGCTATTTTTATTGCTATTAATTCCAGGTTGCTTCTCTCCACGGTTACTTTCCATCCTTCGCTTCTTGTCCTGCCTTCAAGTGTTTTGGAGAATAGATGGACCCTTCTTCTTCTTTGCAAAAAATGATAAATATGTTTTGTGTTCTTTTTTTAAACTGTAAAACTTTCGTAAAATTTATTTTTTTTTAAAAAAAGAAAGGAAACATTTTAATTTATTTCCAAAAATGAGGTGTGTGTGTGTGGGGGGGGAGAGCATCTGGGGGTCCCCCGGCGATGGTCTTCACATCAGGAGGGCCTCCCGCACCAGCGACTTCTTGGCCGGGGTCAGCCTGGCTGGGAAGACAATGTCGAAGTACATGTAGAGGTCTCCCTTGCTGGTGGGGTCTTGGGGAAGGGGCATCCCCTCGTGGGGAACCACTTTGAAGTACTTTGGGCTGTAAAAAGGAAGAAGGAGAGCGTTGTAGCTTGGCAGCTGCCAGCCCCTCCAGCAGGTGAATCAGAGGAGGAGGAGGAGGAGGAGGAGTCAGCATCAGGGCACCCGAGGGGTCCGAGGGGGAAGAGGGGATGGAGCTGGCAGAGACAGAGAAACAGAGGCAAAGCCTGGGCCGTCTGTCAGCCCTCAGATGGAGAGTCAACAGCCCCCAGGTCTGGAGGGGGCTGTTGAGGAAGAGGAGGAACAGCTGGGTCCAGTGCCTGACACACAGAAGGCAAAGGAGAGGAGAGCAGTGGAAATCTATGGGCCGGTCCTTGGGACGGGAGCTTCGAGGGGGAATAGAACTGGCAGAGAGAGACACAGAGAGAGGGAGAGGGAGAGAGGGAGGGGGAGGGAAGGAGAGAGAGGGGGGAAGCCTGGGCCATCCCTCAGCCCTCAGATGGGGAGTCAACAGCCCCCAGGTCTGGAGGTGGCTGTTGAGGAAGAGGAGGAACAGTTGGACCTAGTGCCAGTGGCTGCACAGAAGGTAGAGGAGAGGAGAGCAGGGGAAATCTATGGGCTGGTCCTTGGGACAGGGAGTCCGAGAGAGAATGGAACTGGCAGAGATAGAGAGAGGGAGGGAGAGGGAGGGAGAGAGGGAGAGAGGGAGGGAGGGAGGGAGTGGCGAAGCCTGGGCCATCCATTAGCCCTCAGGTGGAGAGTCAACAGCCCCCAGGTCTGGAGGTGGCTGATGCAGAAGAGGAGAAACAGTCGGGTCCAGTGCCTGATGCACAGAAGGCAGAGGAGAGGAGAGCAGTGGAAATCTATGGGCCGGTCCTTGGGACGGGAGCTTTGAGGGGGAATAGAACTGGCAGAGAGACAGAGAGAGACAGAGAGAGAGAGACAGAGAGAGAGGGAGAGGGAGAGAGGGGAGGGAGGGAGGGGGAGGGAAGGAGAGAGAGGGGGGAAGCCTGTGCCATCCATCAGCCCTCAGGTGGAGAGTCAACAGTCCCCAGGTCTGGAGGTGGCTGTTGAGGAAGAGGAGGAACAGCCTGGACCCAGTGCCTGATGCACAGAAGGCAGAGGAGAGGAGAGCAGTGGAAATCTATGGGCCGGTCCTTGGGACGGAAGAGCCATCGCTCTTCCCACACTAGCTCTGGGGATACAAGGCAGAGGGCGGAGATGAATAGATGTGGCAGACAACTCGGTTCTTCTGGGCAGGGCAACCAAAGAAGACCCAGTCGATCAACTGGGACTCAACGGGAGGCAGAGAAGAGAGGAGGTTGGCGGGGCCAGTCAGAGGGGGAATTTTCCGGTTCTCCGAACCACTTCAAATTTCCGCTACCAGTTCGTGAGAACCAGTCAGAACCAGCTGAATCCCACCTCTGGTCTGAACGCAGCCAGGGAGGGTGTTACCTGTCAGCTCCCCAGCCCCCCCCCTCCCTCCAAGACAGCACTTACTGGACAATATCGTTGATGGGGATGTTCAACAGCCTCTCGTCCAGCATCCTCACATCCACCGTGCAGCCGATCAGGGCCTGGGGGAGCAAAGGAGAGGGGCCGGCCGATGAGATTTGCCCTCCGAGAAGGACATGTTACTAGGGGATGGGGATGGCAGAGAGGAGGAAGAGGAGGAGGTGAAAGAGGAAGAGGAGAAGATAGAGGAGGGAGAGGAGGAGGTGAAAGGAGGAGGAGGAGGAGGAGGAGGAGGAGGAGGAGGAGGAGGGGGAGAGAGAGGAAAAGGAGAAGAAAGGAGAAGGAGAAGAAAGGAGGAAGAGGAAGGAAAGGAGAAGAAGGAAGAGAAGAAGGAAGAGAAGGAGGAGGAGGAGGAATCCTTGGTGCTCTTCTGACAGACCTTTCATTACCCAACTAGGTGATCTCATCAGTGCTACAAAGGGGTGGGGGTCTGTAGACTGAAGGAAGGAGAAGAAGAGGAGGAACTCCATTTCAGCAGTGATGAAGACCCCCGTGGGAGAGTGTAGGACTTCCTGCCTAAGCAGGGGGGCTGGACTAGAAGACCTCCAAGGTCCCTTCCAACTCTGTTATTCTACTCCGGGTCACTCGCATTCTTGGAAGGATTCCTGATTGCGAACCTGCTCTGGACTGTGACCTACAGCTGAAGGGCCACACTGGGGACCACTCCCCATGGGGAAGGCGTACGTGTTTGTGTGAGTGTCAGCGACAGCAACCTTCCGCCTCCCCAAGGCCTAGTCTTGGCGTTACCTTTCCCAGAGGGATGCTGGCCACGTAGATCAGGTTGTCCCCTTCCCTTTTAAACCTGGGGTGGAGTTTCTCCTTCACAATGAAGATAATATCTGCAGGGATAATGTTGGGTCCCTAAAAGGAGAAACCAGAAGGCGTTTAAATAAGAGCTAGCGGTGTCCGGTGGCAGCCAAAAAAGCTAATCTTAAATTGCATTCACAGAGGGATACAGTCAAGATCGAGGGAGGTACTAATACCATTCTATAAAGCCTTAGTAAGACCACACCTAGAGTACTGCATCCAGTTTTGGTCACCACATTATAAAAAAAGATGTTGAGACTCTAGAAAAAGGGCAGAGAAGAGAAACCAGGATGATGAGGGGACTGGAGACCGAAACCTACGATGGACGGTTGCAGGAACTGGGCCTGGCTAGTCTAGGGAAGAGAAGGACCAGGGGAGACAGGAGAGCATCTTCCAATATTTGAGGAGGGGCTGCCACAGAGAGGAGGAAGGGGTCAAGCTATTTTCCAAAGCAAAAGAAAAAAAAAAAAGAAAGAAAGAAAGAAAGAAAGAAAGAAAGAAAGAAAGAAAGAAAGAAAGAAAGAAAGATGCGAGAAAGGAAAGAAAGAAGGAAAAAATGAAAGAAAGAAGGAAGGAAGGAA